ATATCCTGTAAACACCTAATTACAAAACAAAGAAATTAACAATCACCAAAAAGATGCTTTATATGCACAGCTACATCCCTTCTCTCACGCCACATGGCAACTTCGTCATAAAAATATTCTTTGTTTTTTTTTAATCAACTTTCTCCTGTAGTTTCTGGCTTTGCCTCTAAATTTGATGACACAAAGTTTAATATGTTATTCCTGGTACATTGTTCATCACCCATGAAAGATTGGAGTCTTGACATATCATATGCAAACCATTCTGTGCATACAAATAATGGAAGAACAAATGATGTTGCTCTACCTACACTTGGTCCGACACAAGACGCAAACTGAAGGGTGGTGAAGCCGTTTTTCTTGGAAACTTTTCTGTTGAAATTTACCCCTCCAGAGGTTTTTGTATTTCTATAGACAAATTTTTGGGAAAATCTGGTTTTCCCCTAGTAGAGCTAGCGGAAAGGTGAGGAGTTATTTTATTAATATTGGAAGGGGAAAAAAAAAAAAAAAAAACCACGAGAGGGGAACCAAACCTTTATATTTATAGCCCAGATCATTGAATTTGTGAAAATAATTGCTATAGTGAACCAACCTTTAACCTAGGGTAAAAAGTAAGCCGAATAACTAAATCAAATTAGAAAAATATGGAGTAAATTACAAATAATTTCCTTACTAGCCTAATATCATCCCCACCCTTGTTTTGACACCCTAATCAAGATGTTCTCTTTTACTGGCGGTAGTATTCATTTATGCCTCCGCAAATGATTTCTTTCTTTCAAACTTAGATATATTTGGTTGACAGAAATTCTTCAGATACTTTGAGGTTGGTGATTGTCTTCTTGTATTCATTGAACGACAGGTATTGGCATGAATATAATAATTTTCAGTTTCAGTTAATCTCACATCAGGTATGCCTTTTATTTATTATCCCTTTTTTGCTTTTAAGATTTCATAGGAACCACGAAGATGTTAATAATTATGTTACTTTTTTGTTGCTGGATTCAACCAAGGTTATTATTAATATATAGCCCAAAGAAGTGAATGGAGCCTCATATAATGAGAGAGATGTAGATTAATAAGCATGTTTATGATTATGACTTTCGTTAACCTAAACAAATTATAAGGACGTAGGCATCTTTATGTCAATATAGTGTCTACTTAAATATGCTTGGATAACCACTTTTTTCTTAATTTGAATGTGTATAACCGTGGCAGGGTAGCCTTGCTGCCACAATCCAGTAAAGTTCAACCTTATGTTGTTGCTATTCACAAAGAAAAAAAAAAAAAAAAAAGGAAACAAAAGGAATGTGTGTTTTGGTCTAGCTTGGCTGTAATGAACGTCTAAATCTCTAATCATAGGACTAACTTGATCATCTGATTATGATAGCCTGAGCCTTTTAACCTTGTGCTCGTGATCAAAAAGGCTTAAGGGAGCTTTAGCTATCAAAATAATCTTCCAGGATAAATAAAAATTATATAAGGAGCTTTTGCTATCAATATAAGCCTTTTTCCTATCACTGGCAACCGGTAGCATATAGAATTGGTATTGCATCCTTGCATTAGGTTTGACTTTTCAAAAAAATTTAAAATCCGATCGCAAATGTGAACCTGGGACTTGATTGGTATGTTCTTTGCAGAAAAATGGGAAGAAAATTAGAACCTTCTAATATTTCATAGTAATATAAACTATTAAAGCTATGTTGCAATGTTTCTTTCTTAATTTATAGAACTGCTACACTACCGCTTATGACCCATATTTCTTGATTTTAAATGAGGGACCCCTGTACACGATTAACTTTTCAACATTAAAAGAATTCATAACCATCCTCTGCGTGACAACTTTTCTATTTCGTTGTTGAATGAGGACTATAACAGGAAGAGAGAGATGCAATTTTAGCAAAGATAGAAGTTTCACAAGCACACTTGGAACTGTTGAAGCGAACAAATGTGCTCAATGATGCATTTCCAATCTGGCATGACGGAGATTTTGGAACGATTAACAATTTCCGGCTTGGGCGTCTTCCAAAGATTCCAGTATGAAAACTAGGCACATTCTATTGTTATGTGTTCTAGAATTTTTAGTCGTTAGACTCCCATTTTTTTTTTTCCTGCTAACTTTTTGAGTCGAAACATTTAGGTTGAATGGGATGAAATAAATGCTGCATGGGGACAAGCTAGCCTTCTTCTTCATACAATGTGTCAGTATTTCAGGCCAAGGTTTCAGTATCCTTTTCGGAGTAACAATTTCTGTAGGATCATTTTGTACAACACCCATATCGATCATCAAGTTCCTTTTTCTTGAAATTTGTACTTCGATTATTATATTTGCATTTTTTGGATTGATTGAGATGAGATGATGTTGCAGACCTTTAACAAATTGGAAACCGAGTTCTAGTAAGAAAAAGAAAAGGATAAAGTAAGTTACTTGACAATTTTAGATTTGAAATATATTCGAAAATAAAAGGTATTAGAGTGATGCTTCTCATATTGAACAACAGATTAGGAAAATAAGTTGTAAATAATTTAGTTAAATTGGTAATTGTTCCATATTGCATTGTGGTTTGGAACATTGTTGAATGTCAAGTTGATTGTTTTGAACTTCTATTCTGGGAACAATACCATTGCCATTGATTCTTCCGTGCATCCTTTGGTGTCTACAGCATCATAAATGATTTAAGGATCCAGTTTGAGTAATGAAACCCATTTCCTTAATTCGTTACTTCCTAGATATCGTATTAAAATACTTCCAATGGGGAGCTACCCTCGTATCATGGACAACAATAGCACATATGAACTGTAAGTAATGAATTCTTATTATAATGCCTTAGTCCGGTTCCTGTTGCTTTGTTTTGTGAGTCGACACAGGAGAAACTTGGTGTACTGAAATATGAGGATTGATGTTTTTTTTTTTCCCCCCGATCTGCAAAATTCTACCTTGTTTATGTTTAGTTTCCAAATCTTCTTAACGTTCTTCAGGTCTCTTGATATGATATGTAGTAACTGAAACAGGTTTGGGCCTGTGAACTTGTTTTGGAGCACACGTTACGATAAAGCCATGACGTTGTTCTTGACTTGCCTAAAGGAATTTGCTGAGTTTGCAAATTCTAGGGATCAGGAGAACAACATACCGCATGAGAAATGTTTCAAATTGCCATATAAGTAAGTTCCATTATTTTGGATATCATTTATTCCATGTGTGTGATTGTATTATCTTGTAGTTGTGTTCTCTTTTATATATCTCCAATATTGTTAGTTGTGTTACCTTGTTTATGCATGTATAGTTTCTTGCCGTTCATGCTGCCTGTCTAGATTAAGGCACAATACCAAATGAAATGATAGAACTCTTGGGATTCTGTGTATGATATGAAACTCAGGCATTACGATGATCCTGGGGATAAACGGAGTGATCCCACATTGATTGGGGAGGAGAACGAAACATTTTTTATAAGGATGTGAAAATCTCTCCTTAGCAGACAGTTTTTACAAACCTTGAGGTGAAGCTCGAAAGGTTTTAGTTATGAGCCATGAAACATCACAAATATGTTAAAAGAGGCACTAACATGCCCAAAATAGGCATTTTTACCAATTTTGATTGAAATTGCATATCAATCAAAATCAGCCTCTCACGTGTGCCATATTACGCTAGTTTTCTTGTTCGTGCTCAATCCAGATATTCCGACATCAATCTAGCTTGCTTTTTTGATCATCATCGTCAGATAATGTTGCAGGATCGAGAACGACAAGGTCGAAAACTACTCCATCACGCAAAGCTTCAACAAACCGGAGTATTGGACGAAAGCTCTCAAGTATACTCTCTGCAATTTGAAATGGGCTCTCTACTGGTTTGTTGGCAACACAAATTTCCAACCCCTTTCTGCAATCGCCTCATCGCACAATGAAGTTCCTTCAGTTGGCTCTTTGTATACCAAGGGCGGAGCAGACCCGAGGTCCGGCTATAGAAATTCTTCAAACGGGTGATCACAAGTCGCAGATATGACTGCATGCCTCTGTACAGTAAGCCTAGGATTTAGTCTCTCTCTCTCTCCCTCTCTCTACATGAAGGCATATTATTTCAGAGATTCACTACTTTTTCTTCATCAACTATTTGATTATGTAGCAAGACAATAGGTTAACAATGCCTTTGTTCACTCTAGGAATATTTGCTTATAAATAATGCTTTAACATTATTAGCCTCCATGTCGTTCTTCGATGATACATTGTTCTTCAATGATGCTGACATGATTGACAATCATACTCTGGAGTACAAGAGAAATTGTCTATGCCTCCTATGGCAATGAGAAGTGTTGGATGTTTAATTCGCTAGAAATATGAATATGTCCGACTTATATTTCTAATGTAATTATATAATGTAATTATATAATGTGAATAAACTTGTAATTCAAAGAGATTTCTTTTTTATTCTCATCAATTCTATTTTGTGCAACTAAAATGGTGCTTCATAGGTAAGTTTTATTATCTAGAAATGTTTTAGAATTATTTTTTAAAATATATTATTGTTTTTGGTGTGATTATTTATAATGGTATAATATTTTTTTTAGTATCTTTACTTTTATATCATGAATCTCAACTTGTGAAATCTATCGCAAATTAGTCAAATACTTGGAGTAGAAAGACAAGTAGAAAGACTATGAATATCGAAGTGGACAAATGAATATTTAGTCAAATACTTAAAAATTACAAATTTTAAGTCGAATCTAATAATCTCCCACTTAGATAGAAGCACGGGAGAACATCTTGTAAGTCATGTTAGGTTTGTGGAATTAAACTAACTTTAGGAGATAGTGTTAAAAATGTTAGGAGACAGTCTCAATGCTGCCAAAACACGAAACAGGATGACGCCATTGAGAAGGTTCGTGCCCCATTCCTAGACACGAGGGTATGATTTTATTTCAAGTTGAAGCTTTGGGATCGGTCTCTTTGTTAAACACATATATATATATGTATGGGATTGTGACTTGTAGCCTCAACTTTCAAACTATTAATAGCTTTGTAAAAGAACAAATGTATTGAAAATTCCTCTGGCATGTCTACTTTTCAACTCAACAATCATACAAAGCATACAAGCGAAACCGCAGTCAATTTCAAGATGTTTGAAACTGAAGGTAACAGTCCCCACAAAATTTCTAGCAATGACTTATTACTTATTGTTCTGATTTTATCTTATCCAACTAAATCAAAGTGAAAAGGGAACATTGACTGCCTAACCTTGCATCATCTAAGTTTTCTCTTCATCTGATTGCGAGCACGATTGCCCGGGCACAGAATCGACGAAAAAATCCTCAACTGTAACATAAAACAGTTATAATAAGTGTCCAGCAGTACAAAATGACAGAGACATTTAAATGCAGAATTTAATAAAGTCATTCCAATAGACCCCAGCCAACTAGTCCACCTCAACTATTATCGAGAATAGTTACCTGACCCTACTAAATTTGGTTGCTAACGTACCAAAGTAAGGTTCATCTCTCTCTCTGATTTTCCTATAGAGTTCGTGCAGTTTATCACATTTTTAGGAAGTACTTGGACAACAGAATAATATCAATATGGCAGGCCATTGCAAAAGAAAAGGTTGCCTGCGTGTGTGAGGTTGTATGTATTTGTGTTTAGAGGTTGTGATTTTACTATACAAATGCAAACTGTAGGCATGTGGTTGATAGCTGTGACCAAACGGATCATAAACAGAAGGAAAGAAGCATAGATATGTTAACAAGTGTTAAGGCCTAGGGTTTAGTCGATCCTTAATGTTTAGAGAGGATCTGTGAGATCCCACATTAATTAGAGAGAGGAACGAGCGTCAGCGAGGATGCTGGGTCCTGAAAGGGGGCGGGGGATTGTGAGATCCCACATCAATTGGAGAAGAGAACGAGTGCCACCGAAAACGCTGGACCCCGAAGGGAGGTAGATTGTGAAATCCCACATCGGTTGGAGAGGGGAACAAAACATTTTTTATAAGGGTGTGGAAACCTCTCCCTAGCAAACGCGTTTTAAAAACCTTGAGGGGAAGCCCGAAAGGAAAAGCCCAAAGAGAACAATATCTACTAGCGGAGGGCTTAGACTGTTACAAATGGTATCAGAGCCAGACACTGGGCGATGTGCCAGCGAGGAGGCTAAGTCCCGAAGGGGTTAGACACGAGGTGATGTATCAGCAAGGACGCTGGACCCCGAAGGGGGTAGATTTGGGGGATCTCACACCGATTGGAGAAGAGAACGAGTGCCAATGAGGACACTGGCCTTGAAGGGGGTGGATGGTGAGATCCCACATCGGTTGGGGAGGAGAACGAAACACTCTTTATAAGAGTGTGAAAACTTCTCCCTAATAGACATGTATTAAAAACCTTGACAGGAAATCCGAAAGAGAAAGCTCAAATAGGACAATATCTGTTAGTGGTGGGCTTAGACGGTTATCGAGAAAATGCACTAACCCGTTAGCAAGAAGAATGGGATTTGAAGCTTTCTTTTTCTTTCTATCCTTTTGTTTCTTCTTCTTCATCATTATTTATTTACTTTTTCTTTAACAAAAAGATTCAGAGACCTAAACGGAGATGAAATGGAAACAGCTGAAAGAAAGAATTAAAGTGAGTATGTAGATTTGATACCTAAATCCTCATTCTCTGGAGAATCAAGCAAAAGATCCGAATCAGAAGGCAGAAATGGAGAACCAGGATAGTTTCCCAAAGCTCCTAAATCTGCAGGAGTTGAAAATAATCAAAATAATTCAATAAAACACCATTGAAGCTAATATGAGAACTAGTTAGTGAAGTTTAAGCACTGTATTACCTCCCAAATTTGACAAATCTGCCGTCAGATCCGACATGCTGAAATTCCATTGAATTTGATCCAATGATCTGAAAGAGTCCCGAGAATCTCCATCAATACCATCTGGTGGAAGTTGCAAGCCCACAGAATTAGCAACATCTGATGTGAAGGCAGTTTCAAGAGTCGAAGTCTCTGCTCCAATTCCGGAGATTTCTGATGCTGAGAACGGGAAATGACCACTGGATGCCACAGATGTTGGACTCACAGGAATTTCTGACATGGATGACAATGCTCTGTTTGATGGAAGAACAGAAGAAACGTTAGCAATACTGTTGTAGGCCATACTTTAACAATTCAAAGGAAAACTTTAAGCATAAAATCAAGGAAACATATATTAGCACAAGAAAAATGTTAGAACGATAGGTAAGAGCCCACCGCTAGCAAATATTGTCCTCTTTGGGTTTTCTCTTTCGGACTTCCTCTCAAGGTTTTTAAAACGCGTCTACTAAGAGGAGGTTTCCTCACCCTTATAAAGAATGTTTTGTTCTCCTCCTAACCGAGGTGGGATCTCACAATCCACCCCCTTCAAGGCCAGCATCCTCATTGGCACTCGTTCCCTTCTCCAATCGATGTGAGATCCCCCAAATCCACCCCCTTCGAGGCCCAACGTCCTTACCTGCACATCGCCTTGTATCCACCCCCTCCAGGACTCAACCTCCTCGCTAGCACATCTCTCGGTATCTAGCTCTGATACCATTTGTAACAATCCAAACCCACCGTTAGGAGATATTGTCCTCTTTGGGCTTTCCCTTTCAGACTTTCTCTCAAGGTTTTTAAAACGCGTCTGTTAGGGAGAAGTTTCCACAACCTTATAAATAATGTTTCATTCTCCTCCCCAACCGATGTGGGATCTCGAGGCCAACGTCCTCACTGCCACTCGTTCCTTTCTGCAATCGATGTGAGGTTCCCAAAATCCCCCCCCCCCTTCGAGGCCCAGCGTCCTTACTCGCACCTCGCCTCGTGTCCACCCCCTTCAAGACTCAACCTCCTCGCTAGCACATATCCCAGTGTCTGGCTCTGATACCATTTGTAACAGTCCAAACCCACTGCTAGCAGATACTGTCTTCTTTGGACTTCTCCTCAAGGTTTTTAAAATGCATCTACTACGGAGAGGTTTCCACACCCTCATAAAAAAATGTTTCATTCTCCTCCCAACGGATTTAAATTTTCGAAGGAACATTGCTGACTGTTATGGCAACAAGTACAAACCAGTCAGAGCATAAGAGAAGGACCAAAGAGATCGATCCTACAAACTTACTCGTTCCCCGAATTCATCTGAACACGACGATAGTTACTTGGTGCAGGGACTCCATTAACTATATGACAACTTGAAATTCCATTACCCATAGTATCAATATGGGGTCGACCTGGGACTGGAGCCATGGATTGCTGAAGGACTGGATACCCCATAGGTAAGTTATTATCTGCACTGCAAAAAAGTTTTTATTAACTAAAGTAATTCAATCACTTAAGCATAATATGATGAAGTATGGATCTCTATAAGCATATTGTAGAAAAGGAACCAACTTACCAGGCATAGGGTGAATTCCATTTTGTATAGGTGCCAATGGAACCTTGGGAGGCATATTATACTTCATCAGGTGATATTGATGCTCAAGCAAATGGTTGAATAAGAGGATTTGTTTTCTCAGTTTCAACCTTATATAATATGCTCGGAAAAAGTCGGCATTTTCTTCTTCCAATTTTTGCCATACTGAATTAAGACGATGCAAAATTATATTTTAAATGAAAACCATGTAGCATTTACTGCAAACAACAGATAAATGGACTAAAGATCCTCTAAACCTACATCGTACATGATTTATATAGAGAGAGGCCAAAATATATAATGTCCTTGTCTATATAAATGGCTGGTTTCAATTTTGCCCATTATATTTGAGAAGATTTAATGAGATTGTAACAAACCAAGGCCACCGCTAGCAGATATAGTCCGCTTGGCCCATTACGTATTGTCGTCAATCTCACAGTTTGAAAACGCATCTTTTAGGGAGAGGTTTCCACACCCTTATAAGGAATGTTTCGTTCCCCTCTCCAACCGATGTGAGATCTCACAATCCACCCCTCTTGGGGGCCCAGCATTCTCGCTAGCACACTGCCCGGTGTCTGGTTTTAATACCATTTACAACAACCCAAGACCACCGCTAGCAGATTTTATCCGTTTTGGCCCGTTACGTATCGCCGTCAGCCTCACGGTTTTAAAACGCTTCTGTTAGAGAGAAGTTTCTACACCCTTATAAGGAATGTTTCGTTTCCCTCTTCCACCGACGTGGGATATCTGTGACAAAAGATAGAAGAACTGCAATAACTTGTAAAAACTCCCAAATAATTTGAGGTACTTAGACCTCCCTCTCTTCAGATCAGTCGAGCTTAAACCAACTGAACTAATAGCTTAAACCAATTTGAGGTACTATATATATATTTATAAAAGTGATAAAGAACAAGGTAATATATTTAAATGAGAAAAACAATAATCAAGAAATCATTCAAGTAAGTTCCAGTTATACCCAGAGTTGTGAATCCCGGATCTATTCTTGCACGAGTCAGGAGTGTTTTAACCACCTGATCTCTGTTCATGTATAATTGTAAGCACCGCTCAATTAAATTCTGGACCTAAACACCAAATTTAAAGAACTTGTCAAAACATCATAGCATCACATATATGAATAACTGGAAAGACGGGAATGAAACAGGAGGATGAAAATAACACTCCTTCTAAACTGAGGATATTTTATCTTACAAATTCAATATCTTGAGGAGAAAGTCTCTTGCTGTCATTGCTTGTTGCAGATACCGAACTTGATTCTGTAATAGGTGCCTCAGTTGTATTTATTTTGTCATTTTCTTTCTCATTTGCTTTGTCAATTGTTGAATCACGAGAAGCTTGAGATGATTCTTTAGTGCCCTGAAACTCCAAAAAGGTCTTTTAGAATACAGTAGTATGCAACATATGAAAGAAAAACCTCTCTTTTGCAGGTTTGTGTTCATAGAGTGTTCATAGACATGTTTTTAATTAAAACTTTTAGAAGTTTATGCATTAGCTACCCCTTTTTTTCCTATTCGACATTTTCCCATGTCCATATAAATCCTAGCTTGCTATAATGGTACATGGAATCCTCCCTACAGTAATTCTGAGGCTTGGGAGAATTTGCCAAGATTTATCCACTTAACAAACATCCTCATGATTATGAAGACATTTTGTAACCGTCCAAGTCCACCGCCAGCAGATATTGCCTTCTTTAAGCTTTCCCTTTTGGGCTTCCCCTCAAGGTTTCTAAAACATGTCTACTAGGGAGAGGTTTTCACACCCTTATAAAGAATGTTTCATTCTCCTCTCCAACCGATGTGGGATCTTACAGTTCCACAATTCACCCCCTTGGGACCTAACATTCTCACTGGCACACTACCCAGTGTCTGGCTCTAATACAATTTGTAACCGTCTAAGCCCACCACTAGTAGATATTGTTCACTTTGGCCCGTTACGTATCGTCGTCAGTGTCACGATTTTTAAAACACGTCTGCTAGGGAGAGGTTTCTACACCCTTATAAAGAATGCTTCGTTCCCCACTCCAATCGATGTGGGATCTCACGTGTACTTTTTAGAAAACTCTTTTATGTTTGAGGTTTATAAAGTGAAGAAATGAACTAAAGTAACTTAGTAAAAGAACGGCTAAAAATCAAGAGATAGAGAAGAACCTGTGTGGTCTTCATATTATCCAAATGCAGGATAACCACATCCTTTTTCTTTTCCTTTTATGGGTTAGATACTTCTCAAATGAAGTTCAAGCGACTGAACATACTGTGTACATATGGTGTGAAACCATATAATAGAAGCTTTAATCCAATCCCCCTGAAACTGGTTGATGAGCATATAATTTAGAGTAAAAAACAACACAAATTAAAGCAAAGAAATTTGTACTTAAATCAAAACATTAATAGTATTTCCCTTTTCCACTTTTATAATATATTCTAAACTATTCATTCGGAGAGTTTTGTTCATTTAATAATGAAAAAGAAGGGAGAAAATAACTAAATATCAAAATATGGACTGCTCGGATACCTAAAAGATTATCCATTAAGAATAAAAAACAATAAAATGTCCCTAGATGTTCAGCACAGATCTTCCATAATGGCACTTTTAGATTATAATAAGAGAATTAAAACAAGGATCTAAGCTCCACTTTCCAACCCTTTTCCCTAATAAAGAATTGGTCGTCAAAGGCACGCATTTCGAGTATAAAAACGCCTTGATTTCAGCTCAAAATAATATTTCTTTTGGAAAAAAACGGCCAGATTCCCAGATCTAAATCAAGCTCATTTTATACTAGTTCAACAAAGACCAGATTCCCAGAACTATTTCTCAACGAGAAGAAAGTAAGTGCAAAAAAAAAAAAGCCAAAACAAACAGTTCAAGAATGAATAAGAATAAAGAAAGAGCAAAAGGTAGCAAGGATCTACAGTATTACCCAACATCAAGATTCTAGAACTCAAAAAGAACACAAATCTCAGCGAAACTTCACCACGAAGCTAAAAAAATCTCAAAATTCCAACAGAGAAGAAGATCGCGATGAAATCCCTTTACAATTTACAATAAAATAAAATGAAGAAAGAAAAAAAAAGCTCATAATCGAGGATTAAGTCCAAAAAAATCGATCCATTACGATGGAAGCTCACATTAAAACAGATTTGGCGAGTGAGTATTATGGAAATGGAAATGGGAGTAGTGAGTGAAGAGAAGTGAAGAAAATAATTGGGGAAGTGGAGTAGGACAAGGTTTTGGCGTGTAATAGGATTGAATGTTTTCCGGGAAAATGGTGGAAAAGAAAATGCTGGAAATAGAAAGTGAAACGGAAGAAATTAAACCTAATACTTCAAACTTCGTCGCTCTGTTATCGCCTTCTACAGCGCCATCCATTTTTTTCCGCCATTGAATTCAATCACATTTTTTTTCAAAGCTCCACTTAGATGTGGAAATTGGTTTTTTTTTTTAATAATTAAATTTATAAATAATATCTATATTTTCATATACCGAAATTAAAAAATATATAGTTAGTTAGTTAGTTTTTTTGTCTTTAAAATTTGATTAAAAATTCAATTTTTTTTTTAAAATAAAATTTAAAATTTTGAGAAAATAATATAATTTTTTTAAAAATAAAAACTAAATAATTATCCAATCAGCCATTGATTTTCCAGCTAGTTTTTTTTTTTTTTTTAGGAATATTAAATTCGGGATTTGAAACGTGGATGGTAGAAGAAAGGTAATTATAAAAAATAAAAAATAAATAAATAGAAACTTTTTAGATAAATATTGATAAATAAAATATATATCAAATTTCCATGAAAATTTTAAATTTACGAAAATTACGAAAATGGGTGGAATTAAAATAAAGTTTGATTATCACATAAATTAATTTGTCAAAATTCATATTTCTAAGTTATAACTTCAGATGTTTGATAAAACTTACTGCAAAATAATTAATTAATTAATGAAACCGTAGACATTTGAAAATGTTGTAAAACATGTTGAGATGTCGATAAAAATTTAATACCTTGATTTAATGGTCTAACGAACATTTAACGATTCACCTGTTTTTACTGATTTGCACTTTTAACTTGATTCACTGCCTACATGCCCTTACATTCGAGAGTACACCTCCTCCTTCGAAATCTAGGTCTTGAAAATTGGTCGAACAATTTATTATATCGCTCCCAAAAGGCTTCACTGTTTAATAGTCAGCTGCCTAATGAGCCTAGAAATGGAGTGAAGTCCTCAAACTTCAACCAAGCTGTGCATTGGTTAACTTCAAGTCCTACACAAATTGTAGTATTCCCATCTCCCTGAAGCCTCCACATAATGGCACATAATTTCTCGTGGGGAAAAAAAAAAAACTTCTCTTACAATGAACCGGAGGATAGAGGAGGAACTCCTCGATCATCTCTCGACCGGCCATATGTTTGGTTCAAGCCTACATCGAACTCCTCACAAAGCTGTTTCCAGACTGCGCTGACAAATTGCAAACTCCTCGATCATCTCTCAACAGGCCATATGTTTGGTCAAGCCTACATCGAACTCCTAAAAAAACAAACTGTTCCCAGACTACATTGGCAAATTTGACTCCTCAATCATCTCTCGACAATCCATATGTTTGGTCAAGCCTTGTTGAGGATTGTTGGGAGAGAGTCCTACGTTGGTTAATTTAGGGAATGATCATGGGTTTATAAGCAAGGAATACATCTTCATTGATACAAAGCCTTTTGGGGAAGCCCAAAGCGAAGCCATTAGAGCTTATGCTCAAAATGGACAATATCATACCAAGATGGAGATCGGTGATTCCTAACAAAGCCTACATCGAATACCTCAAAGAACTGTTCCCTAACTGCATTGGCAAATTTGAAACTCCTCAATCATCTCTCGACATCTCTCGATAGGTTATATGTTTGGTCAAGCCTACATCGAACACCTCAAAAAACTGTTTCCTGAGTGCATTGGCAAATTTGGAACCCCATAGAAGATAATCAAGAAACTTTGTCAGCCTCATGTAATGGATGCAACACGACAGTGCCATCAATGTGAAGTGGTATCACAGTTTCAAGCTCGGATTCCTTTGGTCCCAGTAATGGTCCAACCACGCTATCCAACATGGAGCATATTTCCACCATTTCTGGATGAGATGGATCCCCAACAAGAAACTCGTGAACGATGCCATCAACCTCGATCGAACTACATCCAGGCATCTTCTTAACTCCAAGCTCTTTCATTTTCCTTCTCACTTCCTTTGCATCTTCCCACCTGTGGGCAAAAGCATATATATTCGCAAGAAGTGTGTGAATGCTAGAATCACATGATTCTATGTTCACTAGTTTTTTGGCTAATCTTTCACCCATGTCAACATTATTATGGATTCTGCAAGCACTAAGCAAAGCACCATAGAGAGGAATCAGAATTGCATCATTTTCACTGGGAATCTCTCGTATCAGTTCCTCCGCTTCATCCAACTGCCCCGCTCGACCAAGGAGGTCGATAACACACCCATAGTGTTCTACCTTTGGCTCAATTCGATAAACCGTTTTCATCGAGTTGAAATACCGACGTCCTTCCTCTACCAATCCACCATGACTACAGGCACTCAGAACACCAATGAAGGTGATATCATCAGGCTTAGCTCCCTCGAGTTCCATTTCTGTGAACAGCCTAAGCGCTTCACCGGTCTCCCCATTCATGGCAAGACCACAAATCATCGATGTCCACGATGTCGTGTCCTTCTCCTCCAACTGATAGAAAATTTCTAAAGATTTATCCACACATCCACATTTGGAATACATTTCAATGAGTGCAGTACCAACCACAGTATCCATTGTTATTCTGTTCTCAACTAGATATCCATGAATCCATTTCCCTTGCTCTAGAGCTCCCAACTGCGCACAGCCCGTAAGAAGAGCGACTACCGTGAACTTATCTGGCTTTACCTTTTGAAATTGCATTTCGCGAAACAAGGCCACAGCCTCATCAAAATGGTTGAACTGCACATACCCATTAATCATTGCTGTCCACAGAACAACATCTCTAACTGGACTTCTATCAAACAAGTCTCTAGCCTCTGTTAAATCACCACAGTTAATATAGCTAGAAATCATGCTGGTCCAACAAATCACATTTCTCATTGGCATTTCATCAAATATCTTGCGGGCAATATCTAAACACCCACATTTTGCGTACATATCCAACAATGCATTATTGATTATAGTGGTAAAACCAAGCTGCTTTCTAACATAGTTGTGAATTTCCACCCCCAGCTCCAGATTTTTCAGAGCTGTACAGGCAGAAAGAGTGCTAACAACAGTAGCTTCACCAGGTTTCTCATTGCTTTCTTGCTGCATTTCCTTAAATACATTAACAGCATCCTCAAATCTCCTACACCTAACATACCCAGAAATCAAAACATTCCAAGAAACAGAATCTCTCCTCGGCATTTCGTCGAACAGCTTCTTGGCATTCCCAACCTTGCCCAATTCCGCATACATATCCATAAGTGAATTACAAACATAAGTATCACAAACCATTCCCGTTTTCACCACAAAGCCATGAACCTTTTCACCTTTCCTCGCATCCCTTAAGCAACCAATGGCTTTTAGAACAAACGGGTAAGTAAAATTATCAGGCCACAACTCATCTTCCCTCAACCGTTGAAATAGCAAAAGGACTTTTCTGAAAATACCCCTTTTGGCATACGCTTTAACCATCACATTATAAACAAACAGAGATGGACCTTGTATGTAATCGAACATCCTCTCTGTGTAGCGCAAGTTTCCAACAGATGGATCCGCACAAAATGCCATCAATTTGTTGGTGGTGTCCCTGTCCCGTTCGAGACCGATTCGAAAGATCTGACTCTGAATTTGTTTGAGTTGATCCATGGATTTGCAGTTCCGGAGATATTCGATGCATGATTTCTTTGTCAGTTTGGAGAGTTGGGAAGAAATTGGAACTACGTGCAGACTTGACGAATAATGGCGGGAAAAAAACTGGATTCTTCGAACGATCAATAGAGGAAGCATGTGAGAACTTGGATGTCCCATTCTCAATAAATCCAAACTATCAAGAACATATATCGATTATAAGAATTACACATTCTCTACCCAACATTTTCAGCATGCTAACAAACTAGTCCACGACCAAGATTCAACGCCAATAACACATGAAAACACAAACATAAACCAATACATATATCACAACTCATTTCAATCGTACACAATCTCAACAGCAATTACATAATTAACCATAGTTTAAGCAAGTAAAGCATAAACAACCAAAGAAACCGCACGCAAACACAGATTATCAGAAATTAATTAAGCTACACTCTAAAGTAAATCAACCTAAAAGGCCTTGAAGGATCGGTTTAACGAGATTTTACCGATTGGATTACTATTTATGTCCGAATGGATCCGTTACTGCTGATCTCACTTCAGAAGAGTGCGGGTTTCCAAATCCAGGATCGTTTGAGATAGTTTTGTTTTGCTGAGTTCGATCATGTGCGGAACAGAGGCCAGGTTCGTATTGGGTCTTCGCGCCGCCGCAACCTAATTTGGAGGTAAATTTGGGAGTTATATATATATATATATATATATTTTTTTTTTTTTTTTAAATTATTATTATTTTAATTATTTTATTTTTTTTAAATTTTTTAAATTTTTTTTTTAAAATAATTTTAAAATTTTAAATATGCTTTTCAATTCCGTGACGATGGTACAACCTGGCCGTTGTATTTGTGACCGTCGTTACCATATCCATCCATCCATCCTAACCCTTAAACCCTCATCCTTCCCTGCAAAACCCTTAAACCCTAATGCTCCATTCTCTCTAGCTTTTCTTGTGCCTTCTCCATACGAAGCTTTCTTGCGGCCATCCACCGCCGCCGGTAGCTGCTGTTCGACCGAGAAGTTGGAGGTTCTACTATGCCTATTAAGCTCCTCCCTCGCCTCCATCTCCTCCACCATCCTCTTACACGTTTACCTCTAATGAAGTTTGAATCCTCAATTCGGCAATGTCGACCAATCCCCATTTTCACTCGCGTTTTTCCTTTCAAGCTCAAGTACGCCTCCGTGTCGTTCTCTTCTCGCTCTTCGCAAAGTTTCAATGGAGTCCGACGGAGCGCCGCTGCTAGGGGCTCCGAGAGAGGAAGCTTTGGGGACTCTAAGAGTCTTGCTGAGGATGAGGCTGAACTTAGCGATTGGGTTAGCGACTTGAAGCCCAGCTCGTTTCGTGGACGAATCACGAGCGATGAAGATTCGGAAGATGACCGTGGGCGTGGTAGAGGAAGGGGAAGAGATAGGGATTGGGAGAGGGAGTCGCCACCGTTGAAGAGGGGGAGGGATCGACCATCGTACGAGTTACGGGAGTCGTCAGAGCGTCGGAGTCCTCGAGGCCCTTCAATGGAGTCGTATCCGAGGAGTTCGCGGAATGTTCGGCGACCCAATCGCGAGAATGAAGACGAGAGAGAAGACTTCCGCTCCCGCAGCAATGGTCGTGTATTTCGTAGAGAGGATGTGGATTCTTCGCGTGGAAGGGGACGTTTGACGAGAGAGATTAATTCGAAAAATCCACGGATTCCAAGTCGCGAGAGTTTAGGGAGAGGTGGAAGGGATTCTACGAAACACGTCCGTTTTGTAGGTAAAGGTGAAAGCGAAGAAGAAGACGACGACGACGACGATGACGAGGGACAGAAAATCAAAAGTGGTGTTAGGGATTTTCTCAGCGATGAAGATAATGCCAGCAACGACGATGAAGATGAAGACGATTCTCTATTGAGAAAAAGTACAAGTGCTTTGTTCCCATCTGGGGCGAACGTGAGCGACATGGATCAACCACGAAAGTCTCCAGGAAGTTCTGGCTCGTATTTGAGTGAAACTAGGTAATTAATTGAACTGAAACTGCAATGGGTTCCATTGATTTCTGTTGTGCTAAGCTTGTTCTTGCTTTACCAATTAGTCGAGATTTTTCATGTTTTCGTTTCAATTTCTGAAAGTAATCGGGTAGATAAGAAATCCAGGACTAACCAACAGGAGGGATTAGGGGTTAGAACAAGAACTTAGAAATTTAGTCCAAAACAGAAGAGAGAACGAGTGCAGAATTCCCTAATTTCTTGCTAGATATCTGAGTTACAAAAGGGAACCACAATATATTATGACAGAACCCCAATGAACAATTGAGAATTTCAATCTTTTGTGAACTGGGAACCACAAGTTTTTTTCAGTCTGCATCTTTTTCCCCCCAGTAAGAAACAAAATGGGAAGAACTATTCAATGCAAGTGAAAACAAATAATTTCCCTGCCTAAATGGATGCATGACTGCTATTCATGCCTGCAGATTCGATCAGTGCTCGGTATCACCATTGTCATTAAAGGGTATCAAGGATGCTGGTTACGAGAAGATGACTGTAGTACAGGAGGCTACACTTCCTCTAATACTGAAAGGTTTGGTTCTTTTTCTGAGGTGCTTGGGCTTAAATATTTTGCATCCTTAATGTAGGTCAATATCATTCACTCCTGTTTTCCAAATTTAAGAATACTGTCTGATTAATTCAATTGTCTACTGGACAGTTCATTGAGCACCTTCATAAGGATTTGCAATTCAGTGCATCCCTGAAACAACCATACATGTACTTAATTCCCTTATCTTGTTGCCTAGTTACTCTTCTTACTGGTAATTGCACTTGTGTTTCTAGGTAAGGATGTTCTTGCCAAAGCAAAAACAGGGACCGGAAAAACTGTGGCATTTTTGGTACGTTACGTGACTATCCTATGCAAAAGGTCATTTACATTTGATAAATAAAAAGAAAGAAGTTTAATAGAATGGTCATACAAGTTACTGAAAGGCAGCATCAACAACTTTGTGCTCCAAAGAGATTAGCCCAATGTTGCTCTTATCGTTGAGTTAATCTAAAAAAACTATTTTCTAGTTAATTATGTTTATTTTCCCTTCAGTTTTTGAGTCATCACTGCCCAACATCTGCACTACACGTTATTTCCATTATGAAATTGGACCAATGTAAACGAGTCCAGCAGCAGTTGCTAGTTAGCATGACTTTTATTTATTTTTTCACCTGGAATGATACTGCAAGCAAATTTAGACGCTATCAACTTTTCAAATTCTTTATTTCAGCTTCCCTCAATTGAAGTTGTTGTGAAGTCTCCACCTACTGGTAGTGATCAGAGGCGGCCTCCAATTCTTGTTCTTGTTATATGCCCTACCCGAGAGCTTGCCACACAGGCTGCCACAGAAGCTAATACTCTATTGAAGTATCACCCAGCTATTGGCGTTCAAGTTGTAATAGGAGGTACAAGACTTGCCCTTGAACAGAAACGCATGCAAGCAAACCCTTGCCAGGTTAGGTTTTCTAACTCACAGTGGGCTGCAGGTAGAGACTATTCCAACTGTTTGAATTCGTAGGCATACCTATTGTCATTGCCCTGAATGTTATGCAAGCCTAATATCTAGACAATAAGTGGCCTAGTATATTGGAATTAGTCTAGCTACTACTACTACTGAATGCTGCATATTCACTTGAGCTGGTTAGATACAATCAATTTGGTCAGTGAGCTTCTGATTTAAGTGAATCATTATGAAAAGATGATGGTGGCAATAATTTTTGACGTTCACAAACTTGGAACTGCAGATTCTTGTTGCAACCCCTGGAAGGCTAAAAGATCATATAGAGAACACTCCAGGTTTTGCTACTAGACTTATGGGTGTGAAGGTCCTTGTCCTTGACGAAGCCGATCATTTATTAGACATGGGATTTCGCAAGGACATCGAGAGGATTATTGCTGCAGTTCCAAAACAGAGGCAAACTCTTCTATTTTCTGCCACTGTTCCAGAAGAGGTGTTTTATTTACTTCTTTTACCGTGCCGTTTCTTATCAAACCCCTTCATTTGAATCCAAGCAAATATTGAAATGCTAAACATTCCTCTTCAATAAAGGTCCGCCAAATCAGTCACATTGCTTTGAGAAGAGATCATGAATTTGTCAATACAATTCAAGAAGGAAGTGAGGAGACGCATGCACAGGTAGGACATATCTTAACCAACTCGATGGCCCCTATACTATCTTAATGAATTTGATCATATAATAGCCTGCTGGATCATTTCAGGTGAGACAGATGCAAATAGTTGCTCCACTGGACAAGCATTTTAGTCTGCTCTATGCTACTCTTAAAGAACATATTGCTTCTGACGTTGACTATAAGGTATTAACTTCAATCATGGCTGACAAATTTATACCAATAGCTCAATTTTAGTGGTTTCTTGATCTGTTGTAATGACGATGGGAAATTCCTAGTTATTATTCTCAAAATCTTCCCAATATGTGAAACAAAATCAAATGATATAGTAAACTTGTTAATTGTTTTGAAAATACTCTCTTGATGGATGCAGGTTCTTATATTCTGCACAACTGCTATGGTCACGAGAATGGTTGCCGACCTTCTTGGTGAGCTGCAATTGAACATTAGAGAGATCCATTCTAGGAAACCACAGAGTTACAGGACCAGGGTTTCCGATGAGTTCAGAAAGTCGAAGGGCCTCATCCTTGTAACTTCAGATGTTTCAGCTCGTGGAGTCGATTATCCCGATGTGACCCTTGTCATACAGGTAATTTGCTTTCTCGTTTGACCACATAACACATGTTGATGAGTAAGTTATGGTCGGTATTACTTTTACTTGTATCTTAGCTTTTCTGGACTGTACTTTCGAATCATCTGCTGAATTCAAAAGCTCCTTCTCTTTAGGTTGGTTTGCCTTCTGATAGAGAACAATATATTCATCGCCTCGGTCGAACTGGACGCAAAGGCAAAGAAGGGCAAGGCATATTGTTGCTAGCACCTTGGGAAGAGTTCTTTTTGTTTACAGTTAAAGACTTGCCTATATCAAAAGCTCCATTGCCCCTAGTCGATCCAGAAACAAAGAAAAAGGTCGATTTCCTTATGTTTCTTTTTTTTTTTTTTCCTTTCTGAATAACGAAATAATAAATCAATAAAGAAGTATCTTTGAGAACCTCCAACATTCAAATGTGAACAGGTGGAACGTGCTCTAGCCCACGTTGAGATGAAGAACAAGGAAGCAGCTTACCAGGCATGGCTTGGTTACTACAATTCAAACAAGACGGTCGGGCGGGACAAGTTTCGGCTAGTCGAACTTGCCAACGAGTTCAGTCGAAGCATGGGACTGGATACTCCTCCTGCCATTCCCAAACTAGTACTTGGGAAGATGGGTCTCAAGAATGTCCCTGGCTTGCGCGTGAAATAACTTGAGAGAAAACGTTTCTTGAGCCGCCAGAAAGCGAGGTAGGTGATAAGAAACGATTGTTTTTCTTTTCAGCTGATTAATGTAATTCATTCTGTTTTAGATTGTAGTGGTTTAAATGAGTAAAAACTTCCAAGTTTTAAATATATATATTCCTATAGGTTTGCCTTTGAAATCTTCCAATTCAAGAATAGATTCTTCAGTTTTGTATTATCCCAAGCTCTTCTAAAGGGAGTTTTGAACATTTTTGCCTAATCTATTAGACAATATTGATGAAAGTTGTATGTATTTATTAGAAAATGGCAACGAGGAGCCTCCCTTTTAACATGATGGAAGTAAGGGCTCTTTGATAGTAATATCACATTTCTCTCGTCTATCAAACTCTCACATCGGCTAATTTAGGGAATGATCATGAGTTTATTGTAACGACCCAGGCCCGCTACTAGCAGATATTGTCCTCTTTGGGCTTTCTCTTTCGTGCTCCCCTTATGGCTTTAAATTGTGTCTGCTAGGGGAAGGTTTCCACACCTTTATAAATGGTGATTTGTTCTCTCCTCCCCAACCAATGTGGGACATCACAATCCACCCTCCTTCAGGGCCCAGCGTCTTTGCTGACACTCTTTCTTTCCTCTAATCGATGTTGGACCGCTCCCAAATCCACCCCCCTTTGGGGCCCAGCGTTCTTATTGGCACACTGTCTCGTGTCTACCCCCTTTCGGGAACAGCGAGAAGGCTGACACATTGTCCGATGTCTGGCTTTGATACCATTTGTAATGACCCAGACCTACTGCTAGCAAATAAATCCACCCCCCTTTGTATGTGGCCTTTGGGAGAAACCTAAAACAAAATCACGAGAGTTTATGCTTAAAATTGATAATATCATATCATTGTGGAGAATCGTGTTCATCTAACGATTCAAACCTAAATCTACATAAATACTTCTTTAGTCAAAAAAAAGGTTTTGAATTTTGATTAGACATTCAATGGGTTATCATAAAATAACTATTTATTTATTTTTAAATATTGAAATTAAATTTTCAACCGGATTCCCATATATATTTTGAAAAATTCTAATTTAAAATTGGATGGTACTAAAAAATTTAGTAGGCATCCATCTATTGAAATCTATGGGTTAATATTAATTTAACAAAATTATTATAATTTATTTATTTATTATAATAAATAAAAATAATAATTTATTTAAATACATATTTAATTTATTTAACTAAAAAATATTAAATAAATGATTTCTTTTTACTCACAAGTACATTAATTTTTCAATAATTAAAATTAATGATTATTTATTATTATAATCAATTAGTTATTTATTTGTATTAAATTTTATTATCTCTTTATTCAAAAATCCCAACTCAATTACCATTAGTAAGAGGCATTAAGAAGTCGTTAAGCAAACATTATTATTTAATGCGTATGTTCGTAGATAAATTCAATTTCTCAAAATTTATTATTAAAAGATTGAATTATTTTAAAGAATTGATTTTTATATTTTTTAATATAAAGTTTAAAAGTATAAAAACCTATAATTAGGAGTTTTCTCATATATTTATAAAATGGAATTTTATTTTTCTTATAATAAAAAAGTTAATGAAATAAAAACTTTATCTTAAATATATTATATTATAAAATTGTTGTCAAATTATTAAATGCATCTCTTGATAATATATTATTATAACATAACAAAGTGCATCATAAGATATCTCAAAATTAAAAAATATATGAATAATTATAGAATATAATTAACGAACCTTAATATTTAATATATATTTAGTTAGCATATATCAGTTAAATACCTAAATGTTTGCGTATAAAACAAATCATATAATAAAAGTAAAAAAAATCTTATAATAATATAAAAAAATACCGAAAATGGACCCAACAAATTAGAATCAATGGGCCACAAATGTAAACGGATTGGGTTGAGTCGTGACATTTCTCAGACCCAACTAAATTATTCGAATTATCAGAAAGACGGTTTTTGCAAGCTCGATAAACTCTTGAACCGATCGATAAAGCAATTCCGTTACAGTCATAAAGTTTATGAGTTAGGTTGGGAGTCAGTTTATTCAAACTTTTATCTTTACTTATTTACTTAATTTAATTTAAATATATATATATATAAAAAAATATTTTTGTGAGAATAAATAATAGAAAAAATTACAAAATTAAATAATGATATATGTATTTTTTTAAAAAAAGAATTAATAACAAATTCATGGAAGAAATTGGATTAAAAAAAATTATTTGAAAATTTGAGTTTTTTTTTTTTTTTGGGGGAAAACCTCAAATTTACAATCATCCTCCGACGTCAAAACCGTTCTTTTGTGGCATTCTCTCTTCAATCCCATATTCCAATTCCCCAACTCACTATCTCTGATTGATTCCTTCTTTTGCTCTCTCTCTTTTATCTCTTCGTTCTCACAAACCCTTTTTTTTTTTTTTTTTGTTTGTTTGTTTGTTTGTTGTTGTTAATCTTCCTGTGTTTGATCCGCCCTTCTTCAGCATTCATTTCCCGCTACTTTGTGCCCCAACTTTCTTGTTTCTTCTTTATCTTCCAACCCTTCTGAGTTCTTCTGACCTTCATTTCTGATTCGCCGACAGTTCCGACATTTTTGGGATTGGATTTGTTTTTGTGTTTTGGGGTTTCATAATACACCGCCCCTTTTGTTAACTCCTTCTAGGGTTTCCATTTGTGGCATCCATTTCCTAGGGTTTCATCTTCTTCCTCGTGGCTAGATTAGATTTGGGTGTCTTCTTGGTTTCTCTTCTTTTCTATTGGGTATGTTTTTCTTCTGGGAAATTTGATTTTTAACTTGGGGATCCTGAAATTTTTGTTCAGGATTGTTGTGTGCTTGTTCGGATTGATTATGCTTTTGGCAATTTTTAACTTCAAACGCGAACGAATCCGCAGGGGGGAAGGAATTGTATCGCGTTTGGTTTATCGACTACTCGAAGTTTCATTTTTGACTGTTAAGAGCCTAATCAAAAGGTTTGGGGAAATTCTTTAATTTCAATCTCTTTTTAGTTAGCTACTCCACTCTTAGTGTCTTTATTTTCTGCTTGTTGTTTGGTTTGTTTTTGGATTAAGGAGGAAGAAATATAATCTCTTCTTTGTGGCGGTCTAATTGTCGTAGAGTTAATTGAGTTGTGGGAAAGTCTAGGCTTGCATGGGCGAACATGAGGGGTGGGCACAGCCACCAAGTGGGCTATTGCCCAACGGTTTATTGCCCGATGAGGCAGCTACAGTCATGCGCGTTCTTGATTCAGACAGATGGTCGAAGGCGGAGGCGCGAACCGCCGAGCTAATTGCCTGCATTCAGCCCAATCCTCCCGCCGAAGACAGGCGAAATGCCGTTGCAGACTATGTGCAACGACTGATCATGAAATGCTTCCCTTGCCAGGTGCAATGGCATCTAAAATCCCCAGTTTGTTGTTCGGTATATGGAAATGTGGTTAAGCGTCTCTTATGGTTAATGTGCTCTGTAGTACATCACTTTCTTGAATTTGTGTGATAAGTACTTGTTATTAGTAGTTTGTTTGTCAATATCCATATGCTGTTAAAAGATCGCTACCCATTGTGTTCAAACATCTTATTTAGTTATATTTTTGAAATGTTTATCTGTGCCTAGTGCATCACTACCTTTTATAATATAGTTCAGTTCATAAAAATGATGCTGTGATCTTACCAATTGTCATTAACATTATAATATGTAGAAGCCATTATGAGTATTAGCTGAACAAATATGGCTGCACTTGCTCTGTTTTTTGCATCACCCTGTAACAACGTGCTGTACAAGATGAAACAAGGGAATGATTTCATTTTGTATTTCAGGAAAAGAACATGAACTCTACTACTATATTTAAACTTCAAAAACAGATGCACCACCCGGTCACCTTTTTCTTTTTTGACTCGAGCTAATTGGCGAAGAATTTATATAATCTTCTTGACCTTGGTGGACAGGTGTCTTGCGTTTCTATCCTCATCTTAACTATGTTTTTCTTGTTGAATTCATGGCTTATCTAATAAAAAAAGTATGAGTAGTTGGGCTACATTGTGTTGTGCACGTTAGGGACTTATTTCCACGCTTGTTCATAATTGCAAAATTTTTACGTAATGTAATTTTTTCTGTTCAACTGTTTTTGCTCAAATTATGACTAAAACGTGCAGGTCTTCACATTTGGGTCTGTTCCCTTGAAAACATATTTGCCTGATGGAGATATTGACCTAACAGCATTTAGCCGGAATCACAATTTGAAGGAGACATGGGCTCATCAGGTTCGGGATATGCTTGAAAGTGAGGAGAAGAACGAGAATGCTGAATTTCGTGTAAAAGAAGTTCAATACATTAAAGCTGAGGTAGATCCCTCTCAGTTCAGTATTTACCTCTTATGGATTGATCTTAGTATTTAATTTCTTGTCTTCCTCCTACTATTTTTTGTTACTATTGGATTTTTCATAGAACCAGCAGAATACATCTATGTAGTTTTTAGAACACTATAAGGTATTTCCAGCCTTCTAAAAGATTAAGGTATTAATTGGTTTCGCATTAAATTATGATAGTTCAACTAAGTACTTCGAAAGTAGCGTTAGTTGAACATTGTTGTAATGTCTGAATATGTTCATGTATCAAATTGGAATCTGTTCAGATTGTTTAAGTAGGCTCGTCCAAGTATGCAGTTTTCTTGCGCCTGTCCTCGTTTAAAACACATTTTTAAACAATTTTATTTTATCCCTACTGCTGATGAAACAGGGAATAGTTATTGGGCAGTCATTTGATACTTATACTTTGTTGTTTCGTTTCTTTTAGAGTCTTAAATTAATTATTCTGCATAATCTTTCACATTTCAGAAGGATGTCCATGTATCTCAATTTATGGCTTAATGTTGATTTACAATCGAATGTTCAGTTATCATATTTCGTTACTTAGCAGATGCTGTAGATGATTCTGCTGATGTTCTGGCATGTTTGGCTTTCGTGAACATGTGTTAAGAGGGTGTTCGCGTGTTTGCCTTTTGTATGTTGTTAAACCATGGTGTTCATGGATATACATTGAGCTTTAAAGTAACAGTTTATAATCGTTTTTTGATTAGCTAGCTTCCACGCATGATTATATATCGTTACTACTATGAATACACTTTCGACGCTGGATGATATTTCACATGAATTAGAACGTTAATGTCTTATGTTACTCCTATACATTTTGCAGGTTAAGATAATCAAGTGCCTTGTGGAAAATATAGTTGTAGACATCTCATTTGA